CAGACTCTCTCTTCCCCTTGTCCCGGGAATAGCGTAAAGAAGCCGCGCTTCTCCATTTGTCGCTTGTCTTTTCTCTCTCTCTCTCTTCCCCTCTCTCTCTTTCTCTGTCTTCCTCTCTGCCTCTCTCTCCCTCTCTCCGCTCCCAGGACCGGCACGATGGCGTCCCGAGTCACAGCTCACGGCTCTCCCAGCTGGGCTCGGTGTCCCAGGGACCGTACTCGAGCGCCCCACCGCTGTCCCACACCCCATCGTCGGACTTCCAGCCGCCCTACTTTCCGCCCCCGTACCAGCCGCTCCCCTCCCACCAGAGCCAGGACCCCTACTCCCACGTCAACCACCCCCACTCCCTGAACCCTCTGCACCAGCCGCAGCAGCACCCCTGGGGGCAACGGCAGCGGCAAGAAGTGGGTTCCGAAGCCGGCTCTCTCCTGCCCCAGCCTCGGGCTGCCTTGCCCCAGCTCTCGGGTCTCGACCCTCGGAGGGACTACCACTCGGTCCGCCGGCCGGACGTGCTGCTGCATTCGGCACACCACGGCCTGGACGCGGGCATGGGTGACAGCCTCTCGCTGCACGGCCTCGGCCACCCCGGCATGGAAGACGTCCAGGTAACTACAAACGAACGAAAACGACAATAAACACAAACGTCCCAGGAGGAAGGAGGGGCGGCTCTGTCTCTTTATGGGGAGGTGGATCTTTAGGGCAGGATCAGCTGGACAGCACATTTCTATCTGCTTATGTATGTATGTATAGAGGACTCCGCGTTGGCCATTTCTGGAGATCCACCTAAGGAACCCAGGATCACAGGAAATTAAATCACAAAGGAGAAAATCTACATGTGTTTGGATAGTTTAGGATCCTTAGAATCAAGGCTAATGTTTGGTCTGGCCTCACTGCCAGACTGGGGACAATTCTCTAGTGCTTTGTCTAAGCAGCTTGGTACCCCCACCGCACCCCTACACCATTGCCAGCATGCACACCCCACAGGGGCCTGTGGCTCTGACTTGTCAGGTGAATAGCCGGTTGCCTAGAGGCTAGGGCTCCAGCAGAAAGGTGCAGGGGCCCCCTGGTCTGCTCCAGAGCCTCTTGCTAGGATTGTGAAGATTTTGCTAAGCATGACAATGCACATTGGAAGAAAGACGTGTGGTAGGTTAGTCTAAACGAGGACTTGCTTTGAATGTCCCATAATCCATAGAGTCCTCTTTTAGGACAGAGTTCCAGTGTTATCCACTCTAGAAATGGAGTATTTGTGGAAGAAAGACCCAGAAAGCCATAATTCGGCTTGGGAGTTCTGGAGGGCAAATGCCATTTTGGAGATTTTCTTTTTCTCTTTTTGGTCCAATAAATGACTGTAGCGCAATACCCTCCACTTCCCTCTTCAGTCTTCTCCCTCTGCGAGCATTCTCTTCGCCTCTATCCCAGCTGAGGAGGCCTCACGTGTTTATTTCTTAAAACAAAAGGCTCAAAACATCCCCTCCCCACTTACGCACTATCCCATCTGCAACCTACACAAAGGAACAAGATTTGGTTGTGAATACTTGGTTAAACAAAACAAAGAAACATCAAAGAAGTGATTCCTAAAAGCTCTCTAGGTGATTCTGAGCAGGTCTCCTATTCCCCTTGAATTTATACCCTCTCCAGGAAGGGAAATATGTTGGATAGGCAATTCATTGACACTTCGGTCTCATTGGCACAGTTGTATTGTTATGCATCGCTTCAGACATACCTCCAAACCGAAGGAAGATGAAATGAGAAAGAGAAAAAGGTGCATGAGTCATTCTTTTACCTTGCTGGGAGAAATATGTTTTTGAACACTTAAAATGTGGTGACAGCATCAAATGCTGCCTGTGTGTGGTCTGTGATAGTTTATTATGTAAAAAGAAATTTAGTTATTATTTTCTAAAAAGACAGAATTACCTGATTTGTGGCTGCATTTACCCATAGCTAGTAAGAGTGGTTGGTGGCGTTGATTTAACTGAGCTTGTCTGTCCCTGTCTAGAGATATTGCTTGTTTTGGAATATTATATGTGAAAGGAAATATTTAATTGTGTTTTTAAAATGCATTGGGGTAATATGTGTCTCGGGAGGAAAAGTTTTTAAATTAACCTTTCTGAGTACGGTTCAAAGTGCTGGATAATGAAAGTGTATCGCCTCGTCACCTTACCGCTGGTGATATGAACACTGGCTGGGGCAGCAACACCCTACTGGCTGAGCCACTCAGCCAAATGAAACCAGGAATCTTCCCCCACCCCCCCAGAGGGAGCAGATGTCTTTGATTTTAGGTTTGTTTGGGGTTTATAATTTTTTTAATGACAAATTTGTGAGAGTTTTTGAGTGTTTGAAGAAGTGCAGAGAGTGAGAGAAAAACAGGGCCAGGTCAGTGCTCCTAAGGAGAATATCCTTGTCAGAAAAGGGTTTAGAGTGAGTAGAGCATCGCGGTGGAGTTGTTGCTGTCAGGAATATAGACCTCAGAAGTGAGGAGAACTGAGAGCGGAGAAGGAGAAAGAGCAGGCTGGGCCCTCTTGTGCCCCTGCACCCACCCCATCCCACCCTCTATCTTGTTCCTCCTCAGCTTTAGCCCAGCTGGTCGCCTGGCAGGGTGGGAAGCTTGCGGAACCTTCTCAGGACAATCCTCAGTTCGAGGAGTGTGGGGAAATTACACCCCACACCTGTCCCACAAGGAAAACAAAGGGGACAGGAACAGTGTCTGTCTCCACTGGATAGCACAACTCCTAAGGCAGGCCAGGGTTCAGTTGATGTGACATAGTATGGGTGACAAAGACAGGGAAAGACATGCGCCTAGGACCAGGCCCTCTAATGCAAAGACCTGGACTCCTCTGCTCCTTCCAGTCCGTCCACTTCCCAGTTAGGGATCTGAACAAGGAAGGGTCTAAAGTTACACAAGGCATCAGGGTTTTAACGTTTCCTGCAGCTGCACAATGAGTTGGTTGCACCATCCGTCTGGTCTTTAAAAGAGACCAGAGAGTCCATGTCCTAGATCTGAGAGTCACCTGTTCGATCTCAAGGGCCTAGTATGTGTTCCGGATACCCCTGAGTCAGGGACCAGACAAACCCTGAGGGCTCTGCTCGGCCTGTGGGTTGAAGGCTGAGGGAGATGCTTTGCACCCAGACATACACACACACTCACTCAGGGCCACCGCCCCAGACCGTGAGAGAAGAGGAGGAGAGCTAATTAACCAAATGCTTCTAATATTTTTTTAAATGAAACTATAAAACCCTGTCAATTTCTATTTCAATTTACTCACAGGGGCTATTAAACTAGCAAATCGCTGTTTGGGTTCTGAGTATGCAACATTTCACTCATTGTGTGTGTGTGTGTGTGTGTGTGTGTGTGTGTATGTGTGTGGCAGGGCGATGGGGGGGCCATGTTAAAAATTCAGAAAAAACAGTTACAAAAAGAATAAGGAAGTGAGAATGAGAAGACACCTAGTTTGGGCTTCGTTTAGTTGTCGTGTACACCTCATTTCTGATTCCCGTCTTGGCTCTCTAACCTCCATCGCCTCTACCACCCATGAGTATAAACACACAAGGATGTTAAACCAACCCCCCCCCCCAACATGCACACACACACTCAAACACACCCTAGTGTCTTAAAGCAACCCCTGGTATCACTTTTAACTAAAGAAGTCTAGTAATTACGAGTCTGAGTTGTTTTTCTGCGCTTCCGCATGCAGTCCTAATTAAATCTTTACGATCCTCCCTGTGACGATTAAGCGCCAGCATGCTTGTTGAAGATCCTGTACAAAAACCCAGCAGGCGGCCGTAATTAGATAGAAAATCAGACAAGAGCCTTCTCATTAACTACCACAACGACCCCACGTCGCTGATGAGGCGTATATACATATTTACGTACCAACGTGAGGGTGAGGTGTGGGGGCTCAGGAGTCCAAGCCCGTGTGAGCTAGGGTCTACCCGCCCACAAACGCAAGTGAATATTTCCGTCCTGCGTGGACACATCGCCACCGTAGGCACGTGAGCATAGAAAGACATGAGTCATGTGTGTGCATGTGCACATAGCAGGGTACCCTGAGGAGTTATGAACAAGTTACATTAAGTATTTTTTAAAACAGCTTTTTCACTGTTTCTTAAGATGTGCATTGCATGTTACAACATGGAAGACAGTTCTGATGAAAAATAACAATTTTCCTCACCTCTCTGAGAACAGAAGAGTGACTATTAAAAATGAAAAGAAACAAATTAACATGCCCTCTCCAGGATTAGATCATCTTATTTTTAAAGTGCTGCTTGTTTAGGGTAGACAGTCTTTTTCTTGTAATGAACACACACCCTGTCTGGGGTGCAGTATGAGTGGGTGGGAGGTGCTATGAAAACACCACCTCCCTCTCAAGCCCTTTGCTTTGGGCTTCCCTACAGAGTTACAAATCCGTGCAAACTTACCTTTCCAAGGATCAAGCAGTTGTCCTTTTTAGAAAAACCTAGCATTTCTTTACATTGAGGCTGGGAGCATGTCGGGAGAAAATTCTCTGATTTCGGATGCTCTGGGATGTGCAGCCAGAAAGAACTCTGTCTGTGTCCATGCATCCTAACAATAAGGAATTCACTTCAACACCTCAGGGGTGAACCCTTCCTTCCCTGGGATGAAACTGTAGCAAGAGGATGAATGTTCTTAGCCAGTAACTTAAATGCTGACCAGGAAGATCCAGGCCTGGATGTGTGTCTGTAGCTACTGCCTTCCTAACAGGTGTGCACCTTGTTGAGAAGCAGCGTCAGCAGGGTTGGGAGGGGGAGTAGACTGTGCAGGTTCCTCGGAGGGATTGTCATTGTGCAGCAAGAAGCTCAGAGCTCACAGGAACGTGGAGGCACTGCAGTGGGTGTGCGGTCCTGGAGGCTTGCAAACATGTTCCTCTGTGTTGCTGTTTGCATTCCATTCCAAATTGCTCAGACTTTAATTAAAATCCCATAATGTAAACTATTATGTATTTGTAAAATGGCTCTGGGGTTAAGATGCACTGGGATGGAATGGAAAACAGAAATTGCTCTCACTGATATTGGTGAAAATCTTTTGGTCATTGCTAAGTTTTCACAATTCATATGAGCAAATAATATAAAGGTTTCCATGTCTGTGTAATATCTATGTTTTATGTAACAACTAAGCCAATATTGTATCCCTATATCTCTTTCAGTTTCCTTATTCCTCTTCTTCCATCGGAAGAATTTATAATTTGGGTGAATTTCATTTCTATGTCTATTTGGAGGTAATAAGGATAATAATAAAACCTCCCCTTGTGAATTGATATAAATGGAAATAACAGAAACTCCAGTTTGGAATGACATGATTTATGTGTGCGATTCTTTAATATCCAGTCAATTTGAATAGTGATGTTTTTATATTCACAGTCAGTTGAAGATGCCAATAACAGCGGCATGAATCTATTGGACCAGTCTGTCATTAAAAAAGGTATGGATTATCCTCACAAAAAGTCAATTTACTCACAGGGGCTATTAAACTAGCAAATCGCTGTTTGGGTTCTGAGTATGCAACATTTCACTCATTGTGTGTGTGTGTGTGTGTGTGTGTGTGTGTGTATGTGTGTGGCAGGGCGATGGGGGGGCCATGTTAAAAATTCAGAAAAAACAGTTACAAAAAGAATAAGGAAGTGAGAATGAGAAGACACCTAGTTTGGGCTTCGTTTAGTTGTCGTGTACACCTCATTTCTGATTCCCGTCTTGGCTCTCTAACCTCCATCGCCTCTACCACCCATGAGTATAAACACACAAGGATGTTAAACCAACCCCCCCCCCCAAACATGCACACACACACTCAAACACACCCTAGTGTCTTAAAGCAACCCCTGGTATCACTTTTAACTAAAGAAGTCTAGTAATTACGAGTCTGAGTTGTTTTTCTGCGCTTCCGCATGCAGTCCTAATTAAATCTTTACGATCCTCCCTGTGACGATTAAGCGCCAGCATGCTGCGTGAATATCCTGTACAAAAACCCAGCAGGCGGCCGTAATTAGATAGAAAATCAGACAAGAGCCTTCTCATTAACTACCACAACGACCCCACGTCGCTGATGAGGCGTATATACATATTTACGTACCAACGTGAGGGTGAGGTGTGGGGGCTCAGGAGTCCAAGCCCGTGTGAGCTAGGGTCTACCCGCCCACAAACGCAAGTGAATATTTCCGTCCTGCGTGGACACATCGCCACCGTAGGCACGTGAGCATAGAAAGACATGAGTCATGTGTGTGCATGTGCACATAGCAGGGTACCCTGAGGAGTTATGAACAAGTTACATTAAGTATTTTTTAAAACAGCTTTTTCACTGTTTCTTAAGATGTGCATTGCATGTTACAACATGGAAGACAGTTCTGATGAAAAATAACAATTTTCCTCACCTCTCTGAGAACAGAAGAGTGACTATTAAAAATGAAAAGAAACAAATTAACATGCCCTCTCCAGGATTAGATCATCTTATTTTTAAAGTGCTGCTTGTTTAGGGTAGACAGTCTTTTTCTTGTAATGAACACACACCCTGTCTGGGGTGCAGTATGAGTGGGTGGGAGGTGCTATGAAAACACCACCTCCCTCTCAAGCCCTTTGCTTTGGGCTTCCCTACAGAGTTACAAATCCGTGCAAACTTACCTTTCCAAGGATCAAGCAGTTGTCCTTTTTAGAAAAACCTAGCATTTCTTTACATTGAGGCTGGGAGCATGTCGGGAGAAAATTCTCTGATTTCGGATGCTCTGGGATGTGCAGCCAGAAAGAACTCTGTCTGTGTCCATGCATCCTAACAATAAGGAATTCACTTCAACACCTCAGGGGTGAACCCTTCCTTCCCTGGGATGAAACTGTAGCAAGAGGATGAATGTTCTTAGCCAGTAACTTAAATGCTGACCAGGAAGATCCAGGCCTGGATGTGTGTCTGTAGCTACTGCCTTCCTAACAGGTGTGCACCTTGTTGAGAAGCAGCGTCAGCAGGGTTGGGAGGGGGAGTAGACTGTGCAGGTTCCTCGGAGGGATTGTCATTGTGCAGCAAGAAGCTCAGAGCTCACAGGAACGTGGAGGCACTGCAGTGGGTGTGCGGTCCTGGAGGCTTGCAAACATGTTCCTCTGTGTTGCTGTTTGCATTCCATTCCAAATTGCTCAGACTTTAATTAAAATCCCATAATGTAAACTATTATGTATTTGTAAAATGGCTCTGGGGTTAAGATGCACTGGGATGGAATGGAAAACAGAAATTGCTCTCACTGATATTGGTGAAAATCTTTTGGTCATTGCTAAGTTTTCACAATTCATATGAGCAAATAATATAAAGGTTTCCATGTCTGTGTAATATCTATGTTTTATGTAACAACTAAGCCAATATTGTATCCCTATATCTCTTTCAGTTTCCTTATTCCTCTTCTTCCATCGGAAGAATTTATAATTTGGGTGAATTTCATTTCTATGTCTATTTGGAGGTAATAAGGATAATAATAAAACCTCCCCTTGTGAATTGATATAAATGGAAATAACAGAAACTCCAGTTTGGAATGACATGATTTATGTGTGCGATTCTTTAATATCCAGTCAATTTGAATAGTGATGTTTTTATATTCACAGTCAGTTGAAGATGCCAATAACAGCGGCATGAATCTATTGGACCAGTCTGTCATTAAAAAAGGTATGGATTATCCTCACAAAAAGTAAGCGACGTTTTCCTGTGGATTAATGTCTTTATGATGAGTTTTCACTTTGAGAGAATTAATTATTTTATAAGACACAAATGTCTGTTCACAATCACGGGACAATGGCTGTCAGACGAGGTAAAAGTGCATGTTGGGAAGAAGGAAATGGAGCGAGGTGGACTGAAAACCATAAACAGGAACCCAAATGAGAGGCAGAGGGACAGAGACCACTGCCATTTTTTCTCTTGGTACATTTGGTAGTCATTCTAGATACATCTTACGTAATTGAACCATCATTATGTATGAGACCGTCTGGGAAATAACTGGTTTCAAAAATATTCTATAATTATTTCCTTGATAACTGGAGTTTGTTCAGCAAAACCCTGTGTCACTGAAATAGCTCTTTCCTGATGTTTTGTGTTTGATTTTTTTGCGTTAATTTTGTTCCCAGTTCTCTGTGTTTTATGAGTTGTTTCTTATTATTTTTTTAATTGTGCCAAATGTGTTGCTAAATATGCACATCCTGAGAAGCTGATACAGCCTATGCACATTTCTAAATCTTCCTACATATGCTTTCATGATTTAGTGAGGCTGTGGAATCACCCCATACTGTTAAAGGGCATGTGATATTAACAAATGTTTGCAGTCTCTTGTACAGCTGTAAGCAAAATAATTAACTAATTAAACTAATTAAATGTAATTACAATAACTCATTTCGGGCGTATTGCAGCTGCTTAATTTTTTTCTCCTCATCTCTGACAGTCACTGAGAGAATGCCTAGCGATTAGTGTGGCTGCTGAAAGGCCTGCATGTCACTCACATGCCACACATTTAGGAGCTCGAATGTGTAAACAGTGCAATCTTTCATTATCGCAGGAACCGGCATTTGACGGTACAATTTTAACTACTGTATCTCTTTTTTTTATTGATAGTAGAGAAAGCCTGTTCTTATGTTTGGTGTCAACAACCCCCAGCTTCAGTCATTTTAGTGTCACTCAAGCCACTTGACATTCACGGAAAACAATGAAAAGCAAAGATACTTTGGAAAGTGGGATAGTAGGAAGGTTATGGGATAAAGATTACCAACTAAGTGAGGTCTTTTAAGTTTTCTTTTTTTTAAAGGCAGGATAGGTAGACCTGGGGGGCGGTGGGAAGCAGTACTTGTAATGAAGCAATTTGACTTTGGAATGAATATCCTGAAGAACTGTAATGGTTGAGACAAAACTATTTAAATGTCTTTAAGTGCCCGAAATCTCCCTCTCTCTTCTTTAGATGATATCATTTAGGTTTTTAATGCTAGCTCTTGGGTTTGTTAAAGATAACCAGGATTGGTGCTTATACTTGAAACTCTGCTGACAGCTCATTTTCACTGTTTCTTCTTGATTCTTCTCTTTTGGTTAATTGCAGTAGATTGGGGTGGTGGTGAGATGGGGAAGGAGATTCTCCATTGGCTTTTTTGTTTTAGTTCCGCCTCCCTTTTCATGGAAAGCTCAGAACCACTTAGCTCAAGGTTCCGTATCCTAGCAACATCATTTGGGCTGGCAGTGGGACATGCCCAACAAATGACCAATCAGAAATGTTATTAATAGCCAAGCCAATAAAAATATTTGGAATTTAGCTTGCCTAGCAAAACGGAACTTGGAAATATTCTTAGATGTGGGATGCTTCGGTTTCCGGGGCTTGTATGCGTTTGTCAGTGAAATGTGGATACTTATGTATAAGGTTATCTCCAAGAATAAGAAAAGGAGAATATTGACTAAAGTTACTAGCTCTGTTTCTGGAAACACTGGAGTACTTTTATGTTGTCTCCCCCTACACACAATTCTTTCCTTTTATTACAACTTAAAACATCTAAGTAGCACCCTAGCCACTTTAATTGATTGAGAGGGTATGGTATGAATATAAAATGTTAGGTCACTTGCATTATTTAATATTTGAGATATTTGCTTTATTACATAAAAAATCCTAATAACATATTTTTATTTTTAGATAGCCATAGGCAAAATAGGAATAAGTGGTTGATTTATTTTTCTAACTCACTATGAACCACTTAAAATAAAGTTATGGGTTCATTAGCTCCTTCTCCACCTTCTAATCTCTCATCTTTGCCCACCTCCACCTTATAAGGAATGTCTCCAAAAGATTAATTGTATAAAGCAGGTGAGAAAGTTTTCAGAACTTACTGTTCCACATTTCAACAACTGGCAGGTGACTCTCAGTTGGTTAATTTGTTTCTGAATGAGCTTTTAGACAGATTAAAAAAAATTATACCTCCTTAAAAAAAGGCCAGTAAGTGGTTCAGGTTTAGGTGGCTGTGCTTCTGTGTTTATGAAGCCAGAAGAATTGGGCGTAAAGGACATATGTCTCTATGTCTCTCTCTCCAGTTACAGCAAGACCCTTCCTAAAATTCAGCCAGTCTGATTTTTCCCCCATGTTAATATCACCCTATATATTATAGGTTCCCTCTCTTGTTATGTTTGCTATCTGGGCTTAGCTGACATTTCTGAAGTAATTTAGTTAAGAGGAAATGAGTTGTTCCCAGTAGAGAGCAAACGAGTGGAGTGAAGGTAGCCAGCGTGATAAATGGCTCTTTCATTTGAAGATCTCCAGAGCTCGTTTACGGCTAATTTTCTGTATTGGCCCCCTTTGAGCTATTAATGCAATCGGCAGGGACCATGGCCCCTCTCCTCTTAGCTGCCCCATTAGAGCTCCCATTAAGCTGCCTAGTCTCAACTCCATGGCAGGAGTGTGCATGTGTGTGTGTGTGTGTGGGGGGGGAGGGCGG